AAAATATACTGGCCTTGTTTGGTTTGTGTTTCCCAAAAATTTTTGGGAAAAATTCTCTACAAATAAGTTTTCAAAAGTAATCAAACCAAACAAATTTTCTCAAAATTTTTTTCCAAAACTTGTTTGGTTTACAAATTTGGAAGAAGAATATAAACTCAAAATTCTATTCAATGTGTTTAGTTTCAGTTTTTTGAATTCAGTTTTCTGAAAATTGAGTTTTTTGTTTTTCGAGTTTTTTTATTTTTAGTGAATATTTTTAAAATTTAAAACATTTTTTTTACTTTTTTAGATGCACCTTACTTAGATGTATCTAAAAAATAAAATATTTAGAAAAAATATTTTAAAAAATTAATAAATACACAAAATACAAAAAATATACTTAATTTTTGTATTTTTAGTATTTAGTGAATTTTTTAAAGATTTTTTTCACAAAAATTGAAATAAACATGTTGATTAATTCTCCAAAGAACTGATCATCCTGAAGGCTTACAATAATTGTTTATAATGAAAACAGACCTAACATTACTAGGAAATAATCGAAATTGGTAGTTCCTTACCTAGCAACACAGAAATAAGTAAATTTAACAAAACTTACCAAAAATGAAAATCTTGAAACTAATAAAGAAACTATTAATTTAGGTTGCCACACTGAAGGCAGATTTGACAGTGACTTCTATACTAAGAGCAATTGAAGATTGCAAAACTTTCCAAAAATAAAAAAAATCTCAAAATTGATGGCCTAAACAATGAAATTTGCCATCAATCCGACGGGTCCATGGTGAAGAGATGGATTGTGTTCAGAATGACGTTCCAATCAACCCACCAAATATCATGTGATTCTGCGCACGTGTTGTTTGAATTCTACTAGTGCCGTTTGCCTTGTTTGGCCATAGGCTTGTCCACATGGTCCTAGAATTGCATAACCAAGCATGCTAAATCACTTTGGGTTTGTGTAATCAGTTGTGTACAACAATGTTTTTGCAATCAATTGAGTTAGAGTTAGTGTCATCAAATGGGAAGGTAAAAGAAGATGAAGTAGTCAAGGGTAATACAGTTTTTATTTTATTTTATTTTACTTGAGCCTTTTTTTGGCCAAAACTCCAAACTCGCATGTGTAGCACCTTTCGTGAATTTGATTGGAAAGTGTATCATTGCACTTTAGTCCAAAATTACAAGGGAAGTCTCTGCACATATTTGAATCATATGTGAGTAAAATGCTACTACGAAGAAGAATGGACACGGACATGTGACATGACACAAATACGACACGGACACACTAACACACGAATTTTTTAAAAATGCAAGACATGACACGTGGAAGACAAGCACAAAATAGATAATTTTATATATTTATTATATGTTATATATAAGAATATATCATTCAAAGATAATAAAAAAATGTAATATAACACTTAGTTTTATAAATTTACATTGCTTTTGTTTTATTATTGTATCTTAAGGCCTCGTTTGGGAACATGCTAATTTAGTAACTTTTTGGCTATTTGACTAAAATATGAGCTAAAAAAAACTAGTATGTTTGGGATGAATTTTTGATTTTTTACAAAAAGATGTGCAAAAAGTAGAGAGAAAAGAGAATCTTTGACTTTTTAGTATAGGTTGTTGGCTTTTTGGCCTTTTTAGTAACTTTTTGGCTAAACCGATCGCTTCCCAAACGAGGCCTTAGTTTAAACTTATTCATGTGTTTCTAATCAATGGACACGCGTGTCCTATAAGTATCCGAAGAGTGTTCGGTTTTAATTTTTTTTTTAAAATAGGACATATTTCGATGAGTGTCGAACACATGTCGAGAAGTGTCTAAAGAGTGTCGGTATCCGACACGGACATGACACAACACGGATACACCACCTTCTTAGAAGTGTCTGTGCTTCTTGACTTTGCTGGCAGTATGCAATTGAAACAGTCCACTTAAAAATGGTTAACGACAAGCAGTAAACGGACTTCAATAATAAATTTTAACCTTTCCATTTTAAGTGAATAGCTCCAAAAGCGAAGTTTCCTTATCAAACCACCAGATAGGTAATCCAAGAGAAGAGCATAAGCAAGAAATGTCGAGGTGCACACAAGCTAATCCAGACACCCGATTAACAAAAAAAAAAAAAATAGAAGAAGAAAAACATAAAGTAAATGTTGACTCTACTGGCAATATGCAATTGAAATAGTCCACTTATAAATGGTAACGACAAGCAGTAAAAGGACAACTTTAATAAATTTCAACATTTCCATTTTCAGTGAATAGCTCCAAAAGGAAAGTTTCATTATCAGACACTTGATAGGCAACCCAAGACAAGAGCATAAGCAAGAAATGTCGAGGTGTACACAAGCAGGTCCGAACACCCAATTATCCACAAAAATAAATAATAAAAATAATGTAAATGTTGACTAAGAAACATGGACACGGACACAGACACGGACACGAACACGCCGACACGTCAATTTTCAAAAAATACAGGGCATGACACGTGGAGGACACGCACAAAATATATACTTATATATATATATATATATAAAAATATATCATTTAAAAATAATAAAAAGAATGCAATATAACACTTACCTTTATAAATTTACAATGTTCGTGTTTTATTATTGTATCTTAAGTTATTTAGTTCAAACTTATTTATGTATGTCCAATCGATTGGACACGTGTGTCCTCTAAGTATCCGAAAATGTTCGGATTTAAATTTTTTTTAAAAAATAGGACACGTTTTCGACGAGTGTTGAACACGTGTCAGGAAGTGTCCAACGAGTGTCGGTATCAGACACATACTACATGGATACGCCACCTTCTTAGAAGTGTCCGTACTTCTTAGCTCCCACCCTTAACCACAGGGGGTAAACTGAATTTTTCCCTTAAAATTTTAACAATACATGATGAGATGTAATTTGTAAAAAGTCTTATGATAGAGATTATATCTTATTAAGCAAATTAAGAACTCCTGATTCTGTTTGTTATTGCCAGACAGTAGGATCTCTGATTACTTATGCTTGACAGTTTGTCAGGCATTCATCCAGCGCCTCAAAAAACCATTTGCAGTAGCATCTCAAACTGTACATATCCCTCTCTTCCTTGACTTTCGAATTTTCTCAAATATCTTTCTTTGATAACTCATAATATTCCTTAGTTGCCACTTTCGCGTCAATCTAAATCTTAGGTCTATAATTCTTAAATTAACCTAGACTACACATGTAACTGCAAGGAAAGCTAACTTTACTTTTCTGAAAATAACCTCAAGGTTATTAGGCTAAGTCTTAACCATTGAACCAATGGTCACCCCTAATACATGATGAGATGTAATTTGTAAAAAGTCTTATGATAGAGATTATACCTTATTAAGCAAATTAAGAACTCCTGATTCTGTTTGTTATTGCCTGACAGTAGGATCTCTGATTACTTATGCTTGACAGTTAGTCAGGCATTCATCCAGCGCCTCAAAAAACCATTTGCAGTAGCATCTCAAACTGTACATATCCCTCTTTTCCTTGACTTTCGAATTTTCTCAAATATCTTTCTTTGATAACTCATAATATTCCTTAGTTGCCACTTTCGCGTCAATCTAAATCTTAGGTCTATAATTCTTAAATTAACCTAGACTACACATGTAACTGCAAGGAAAGCTAACTTTACTTTTCTGAAAAAAGGATTGTTGGCTATATGTATGTTATGTAACTTGGTCGAGTCTTTGACATCAAACAAAGAAAGTAGACACGTACCAAAAGAAGAGTTTCTGAAAAAAGAGTAGTTTCTGAAGAAATGGAAGACTATAATCATGTACGCAGTCAACAATATGAGTGGCTTACAATCCTGATATTCATATCATATCTGTTGGAAGCCACAAAAAAAAAAAAAAAAGAGTTATAAGAGTGCTACGAAAACAGGGATATCCCTGATCAAATTGAGTGGCAAAAATTTCAAAATCTAGTTACTTGTATCCCAACACAAGGAGTGTTGTGTTGGGTAGATAAGAACCAGTACAGAACTCAAAAACCCATACAGACATGGACTTGGAAGGTTTCCTATGAATATGGGGGAGTTGCCCCCAAAAGCATGTCTTAGATAAAGTATATAGAAAATGGGATTTATGTAGCCACAACCAAATAGTTAGAACAAAGGCTTTGCCATAGAGCATTTAAAACAAGATTCAGAGACAAGTTAAAAGAAAACTCATCACTTGGAGCCAGCCTTTTAGAAATAATTATAAATCAACTAGTCTAACAGCTATAGTACAGTTCTACAGATGTTTAAGCAATTGAAATGCATAAAATCTTAACAAGACAATATGCCCATAAAAGGAATCACTTTTGCCATGTACCATAAACCACTATACGTTCCATAGAGAACTTTTCTCAGGGAAAAAAAACTCCTTGAAAGCTAAAGAACCCTAATGAAATATAACTTAATTTTTTAGAAAAAAAAAAGAAAAAAAGAACGTAATCTTGAATGCCTCACCCAAATCACATAAAACCATTTTGATTTAGAAACCCATGTTGCATTTACTAATAATCTTCATTCACTACAGACTGGTTAAAATACATCAAGTGAAATTTGACACCAATCACTGCTGCCATGTTAACAATTTCCTCTATAGCTCACATCATCAATAAACCTAAAAAAAAAAAAATTATAAAAAAAAAAGTCACTGCCATGTTAACAATTTCCTCTATAGCTCACATCATCAATAAACCTAAAAAAAAACATTATAAAAAAAAAAAAAAGTCACCAGGCTAAAATTTCTATATCTCCATCATATTTACATGATTGATGGATGATTCAACACCCAAATCACAATATTAAAATCTTTCCACACATTATAACTCAATTTGACAAAGCTTCCAATAGATTCCATCAGAAGAATTTCCACCCCAAACCATTAAATTCCAGCTTAAAGTCGTTTCAAGAACATTTCCATGATTTTTTAAACAGACCCACAAATATATATATATAGGCATATCTAAATGGGTAATGGATTAAAAGCACACACCTTGAGTGAAAAATTGAGGGCGACTGAAGGGTAATAGCGAAGAACACTGCTACCATTGCCTCTCCATAGAGAGAGAATGCCTTCTTCTCTGACCGTACGGACTATGCAATCCACCATCCCCTTGAACCTCCTGTGAGGACCCGAGACGATTGCTATGTTGCTCTCCTGGGTCTGCAATAGGAGCTTTGACCTCTCGATTGGAGCCACAATCGTGTGCACCAAGCCGCCCATCACCGCACCGGCAATCAGATCCCTGTGGAAATTCGTCAACCAATCGTAGGGCCCTAATTTTGAGCTCGATTTCCTCGCTTCTTCTCCCTCATCTTCTTCTTCCACCACCATCCTCTGCATCTCCTCCCAGTTCTCTCTCTCTCTCTCTAGAATACACAAATACAGGTGATGTTTCTCTCTCCTGTTTTTGTATCGATTGGAATATATGCGAGTGCTGTGAATTTATATATATATATATATATATATAAACTTCCCTATATAGGGATTGTGTGTGAACTTGCTCGATTATTTAAATTTTATATTAATGTATTATTGAAGTTTCAAGACACAAAAGTTGCTTTCTCTCTTATTTGGGAAATGAAGTTCCCCCTTCTTCTTGACTCTCTCTCCTCTCTCTCTCTCTCTCTCTCTCTCTCTATAAAAAACTGTTTGCATAACGGAATTTCACTCTACCCAATTCATTTTGGAAAATTTTCGCCAAAATTGATTCTTTCATGAAAATAATAGTCTAATTTATTTTGGTTTATAAATCCTCTGAGATTATCTACACCCAACTTTTTTAATTTTTTAGTCAAATTAAAATTATTTCATTATTTTAGCTATTCACCTTTTAACACCTACTGCATCAAACTCTTTATTCTAACTTTTTATTATTATTTTCTTATTGTGTTTGTTAGTCTTTTTTTTTTATTAAATTGATAAATTACCAATCAAACAGTTCTTAAAAAAAGCAAAAAAAAAAAATGTCGTCGACCAGTTGACCGGCCGGACTTCTGGGCGGATATCCGGTAATGCACAAGTAGCGATGAACAATATCTCGCTTGTTGTAACGAGTTATTGTAGTGTTCGTAAATTTTGACGAGTTGCAAGTGAGCTTAATGCGGTTGATTTTTTTGAAGTTTTTAGCTAAAAAATAAGTTTGAAGAGCTTGATGCAGATGCTCTAAAAAGGAGGTATATAATTAAATATAGACAGAATAAAATTTATTTTATTTCCTAAATAATATTACTCATGCATATATATATCTCACAAATTTAAAATTTGCATGATTCCTTAGTTTGTAATTAGTGTCATCGAAGTACTTTTGAAAGTCTCAAAATTTGTGATCTTCTTCATTCATTAATTACCGAAAGCGAAACTAGCAAGTCATAATTTAATTGTCTGAGTTGGAAGAAATAGATAAGAAGAGAAGGCAATCATTGTTTGTTTCTTCTAATGTACCTTAAACTAGGCTTGTGCCAACATCATTGTTCATTAATTCAATAACTTTTCACTTTTATTTTATTTTACAAGTTTAGAAATGTTGTGTATTTGTATTTTTTTGTTCATTCATCTAATATGTACTATTTCTTTTATAAAGTAAAATTTTACTCTGGTTAATAACAATAAACTTTAATTGTTGATATGTTTAACGACAATAAATTTTACTACCATGAATGATACTACGATATCGCCTACTCTAGTAATGACAAAATAAAATTTTACTGTAAAACAGGGTAAAATTTTACTGTCTATATGTCAATTTCGATGGTATTTTTTTTTAAAGAATTTTATACTCAACCTAGATTTATTTATTTATTTGATAGATCTTAAAGAGATGATTCTAAAAATATAAATTTTATTAAAAAAACGACATATAGATCAAAAATTATATTATTTTAAAGTTTAAAATATTAAATTAGCCACTAAAAATATTTTGGTAATAATGATATGTACTGAACGTTTTAATAAATTTTTTTTGTACTTGTCCTTAATATATTAAAATTTTATTATAAAAAAGTTTTGACCAAATCTCCCATTCATTTTCCTATGCCAGTTTTCCCCTCAAATATATATATATAAGGGGTTAATTATAATAAAAAAAAATACCAAGATTTCACGTATTTTTCACTTTAAATTATAATATTTTAATTTCAACAAACTAAATTATGGAGTTCCATCCGTGTTTTAATATGCCACCTCTACTCATCTCCGTTTGTGTAAGGTAAATGCTGAGATTTAAAGTGAAAAAATGCATGAAAATTTAGAGATTTTTTCGTAATTAATTATTTTTTTTAAATTAAAATCACTAAAAATTAAAAGGGTTAATTACACACAAAAAAAAAAAAACACCCAAGTTTCACAAGTTTTTCACTTTAAACTCCAGTATTTTATTCTCTATTACCTTACGCTGATAGAGATGGTCAAATGAAGCACATTGAAATAAGCATAGAATTTCATGATTTAATTTGTCGAAATTAAAACACTATGATTTAAAATGAAAAACATGTGAAATTTTAGAGTTTTTTTTTTTTTTTTTGGAATTAACCAAAAAAAAAATTTACTTGTGGAACATAAATAACAGAAAATAATTGTCAGTATATGATGAATTAAAAGTAGGGTATGCCTTCTGTCCAGTCCGGGATCAAACTGGACCGTGCTGTTGGGCCCGTGGGGACCCACCACGGGTCCCGTTTTGATAATCTGAACCGTTAATGTATAAAAATCATCGAGTACTATATGCCTGTAAAAAATCACGTTGATCAGATATCAATAGCTATGTGATCAAAACAATTTTTTGGCAACTGTTAATTTGTTCACCGTCTAATTTTTTTAATACGAAACTGATTTGATCATATAGCTATCAATATCCGATCAACGTGATTTTTAACAGGCATATAATACTCGACGAGTTCTACATATTCAATGGTTCAGATTATCAAAACAGGACCCGTGGTGGGTCTTCACAGACTCAACAATACGATCCAATCCGATTCCGAACTGGACAGAAGTCATACCCTTAAAAGTAAGTGTAACCTTTCTGCAAAAACAAGAAGGTAAGTGTAAGTGCAATACTACTGTGAGTAATGTTATATAAGTAAAAATATTCATACTTTTTTTTATTTCAAAATATTAGTTTCTTATTTTTTTTATTGTCTCAAAATATTAATCTTTTTTCAAAAATCAAGGACTAAAATAATGTGAATTTTCTATTTTGTCCTTATTTTAAATTCGTTAATAATACAAAAAATATAATTATGACAATTGATATTCTCAAAAAAAATGTATCATCAAAGGATAATTTTGAAAAATTAATATTTTTAAGAGTTATGCTAGGGACTCTAAATATTCTATCAAACCTCTCACATAGGTGTGGGACCCACACACATGTGGATTTCTATGAATCTCACCCCATGTGAGAGGTTTGGTAAAATATTTGATAGAATATTTAGGATACATAACATTTCTCTATTTTTAAAGTGCAATAATTATACTACAAAAAAAATTTAGATTCCCCAAAATGGACTATTATTTTGGGATGGAGGGAGTACATAATTTTTATATTTAGGCCTCGTTTGGAAACATGCTAATTTAGTAACTTTTTGGTTATTTTGCTAAAATATGAGTTAAAAAAAACTAGTATGTTTGGGATGACTTTTTAGCTTTTTACGAAAAGATGTGCAAAAAGTAGAGAGAAAAAAGAATCTTTGACTTTTTGGTATGGGTTGTTGGCTTTTTAGCTAATTTAATAACTTTTTAGCTTTTTGGCTAAAAAGGAGGGTTCCCAAACGAGACCTTAATGGTATGCCTCATTGTAGACTTTTTACTTCAAAACAAAACACCATTAAAGATAAATTTATTTACAATATATAACATTACGACATTATTTTTGTCAAACTTTTTGTTTAAATTTTATATATGTTTAGTATTTTCACATTATTACTACACAAAAATATATCAAGAAAATTGATAGTTTGATTAAGATTTAATGCTAAATACGAGCTTCGTAATACATTTGGTTGAATTTATCATTTTTAGTGCACTAAGAGCATTTTCAATGTTTAACTCTTTTTTTTATTTATCAAATTTGAGTAAAAGTTTCATCTGATATCGCCCGTTTCAACGCAGCAATCTGAGATTTCATCAAATCACTGGTCGATCGGGATGATAATTGGTGGATGTCCGGCCAATCGATCGGCCAGTGTAATTTTTCCAGATTCCAAAACAAACTTTTGTAAGGAGGTGGTCGACTGAGGAGACAACTAGTCGGACATTTGGCCGGTCATTCGGTGTTGGTGTATACTCTGCATTTTCGACAACTATGTACAGTAAATTGATGAAAGGCATATCATTCTCAATTTGATGAAAAGTTCAAGATATTTTAGATTTGATGCTGATTTGATGTAAGTGTTGGAGCAACAAGAGTCTTTTTTTTTTTTTATCAAATTTAGATTTGATAAAAAAAAAAAAAAGTGTTAGAGATGGTCTAATTCTGTAAAAATAGTCTATATTATTATAAATCGTAACCTTTGTGCTTGAAACTCTTCATTCATTTTTAATTTTTATATCATTAAAAATGATATGTGATAAGGTCTAAAGATAAAATTTCAATATAATTTTATATTGAATATTTGATCTTTTAAATTAAATTGAGTTTATTTACCCATATGAATAAATGAATTAGTTTTAATTTTTATATCATTAAAATGATACGTGATAAGGTCTAAAGATAAAATTTCAGTATAATTTTATATTGAATATTTGATCTTTTAAATTAAATTGAGTTTATTTACCCATATGAATAAATGAATTAGGAAAGTTTGCATTAGTTAACACTTGTATAATTTTACATTGAATATTTGACTTTTAAATTAAATTAAATTTAGTTACCGTATAAACAAATGAATTAGGAAAATGTCCATTAATTAACATTAATTTTTTTCTAAATCTTTCCCTTTTAAATTCTATTCTTCAAATTTTAAACCAAAGTTTCGAAATTAAAAAATATATATGACATGGGTAGGCCCACGAGGCATACGGCCCACAACAAACCACCTCGAACCCATCGCTTAGGACCAACAACATAACCTGGTTGGCAAAACCCATGACAGCTGGAGGCCATCTAGACATGGGGGGCCAATGGCATTCGGGCACGTGGCAAGTAGAACACGGGCCACATCAGCAGACAAAGATCTGCAGAGTTATTACCACAACACATCACCATTAATGCATCCCATCACAGCATTTATTACGACAACACCTCCCCGTCGGAACGGAGCCCCCTCGCCCTGAACAAGGTAAGCTACAACACAAGCTTTCGGCGGAAGGGGGCACATCACGAGGGACATTGAAATGATTACCAAAGGATATAAGCAAGAATAGGAAGACAAGAAAAGGTTTAAGTTTTCTATCTCTCCATCTCTCTCTCTCTCTACATTTTCTTCCTCTACTAATTCTCACGCCGGAAGGTTCACTGGGGGACGGCCCCGTTCCCCTTTGGACTTGCATGCAGGTCATTTGACGAAATCACCACCCCAAACCGGAACTCGAAGAGCCTGGACCAGACCGGCCCATCCACCCGGGAGGGACAGTATCGACAGTATCATTAGTTGGCGCCGTCTGTGGAAAACTG